TAGGCTTGTAACCCAGAACCTCACAGCCTGGGAGCGGAGCAGACTAGACCATCTAGGTTTGCACAAGTGTCGTTCTCGTGAGGACGGAATCGCCCAAGGACACACTTCTCAGAACTCCCACCTTGAGCAATGCATGAGTGTGGTTGTTACACCGTGTTGTTCTTTAGGGAATAGTGAAAGGGGGGAAAGCCTATGCATGTTGAGTACAGACACAGCCAAACGTTTTTTCCAAATATTTTTGATCCCCTGTTGACTGAATCCCTGGCTGTGGGACCCATGGTACAGAGGGCTGAGTATTCTGAATGCCTGTGGCCTGTGGTAGAGAAGAAGAGGAAGCCACGTGGGCACAGAAGGCACCTGGGGATTAAAGAACACACTCGGGCCCCTGATGGATCCCAGGATCAATTCCAATGGACCCGCATCATGCAATGCTGGGGCTAAGCAGGAGCATGGGAGAAAAACTGGACCTTTCTCAAGGTTCAGGTTCTCACTGCGCCTTGAGAAAAAAGAACAGATGCTTGCTGGTGGGTCCAGAAAACAGGGAGTGAGAAAGACCCTGAACCAGCTCAGGAAAATTCCTGCGCAAATCTCCAAACTGGCTTTCTAGTGGCCTTGAACTATTCTCATTAAAGTGACTGACACTGGGACAGTCCAGTATCATGCAAATGCATTTTTTCCAGTAAAGACAATTCACTTCTTCAGTCAGTCACCATTCAGGGACACCCACTCTGTGCCTGGTAGGGAACAGGACACAGTGGGCAGAACAGACAGCTCTGTCCTCACCTGCTATAGAGGCAGGTGGAGCCAATCACAACTCAGGGCTGCCCCTTTGCATAGTTCCCATAAACACATTCAAAAATCAGAGGAAAGGGGGGGAAAGAAGTCTGTTTTTCTTTATTACAGCATTCTGAAAAGATATGAAAAATAAAATCATGGCTCACCAGTGGGTTTCTCAAAAACCCACGTGGAGGGCGGTGCCTGTGGCTCAGTGAGTAGGGCCTCGGCCTCATATACCAAGGGTGGCGGGTTCAAACCTGGCCCCGGCCAAACTGCAACAAAAAATGGCTGAGTGTTGTGGTGGACACCTGTAGCCCCAGCTACTTGGGAGGCTGAGGCAGGAGAATCGCCTAAGCCCAGGAGTTGGAGGTTGCTGTGAGCTGTGACTCCATGGCACTCTACCAAGGGCAATAAAGTGAGACTCTGTCTCTAAAGAAAAAACAAAAAAAATCCCTCCCTCCCCCAAAAAAACCCACGTGGAAACTTTATGAGGTATAGAATGTCACAGTACATCCAGTTAATGGGACAGACTGTATAGCCTTTAGTTGTGTGCTCCTTAAACACCTGTCCCATGGTGAGAATGGCACTCACACACAACAGGCAGCTGTGCAAAATGACACGACTCCTCCACGAGGCAGCAGGTGGGAGGCCTTCCCACCCTCAGGTCCACATTTCAAATTGTGGGAACCTGCTTCTGGTTGTTATTCAGACTATTAACATAGCTGTCTGGACAAAAAGCAGAAAGTCCAACAATAGGAGAAAGGCTAAGTAAGTAAGAGTACAGTCACTAATGAAATCTTCAACAATCAGGGAATAAAACAGAGCTGGCCCAGGAGGCGCTGCCAGCACAAGCAGACACACGTCCACTGCAGAATCATTCACAACACGCCCGCAGCTGCAGAATGGTAAACACATTTATGACCCATCTACTTAGAGGACTATGTAATCCTAACAATTTATATTACAGATGACAGCACTGAACATGGATAAATGCTTGCAGTTCTTATCAAATAAAAATGTCAGGTGCAGACTGTGTTCTAAGTCACAGCTGGGGAATGCACTGTGCCAGGGAGGTGCTGCAGGTAATTTTGATATCACTTTTGATTCCCCATGTATTCTATAATGTGGTTGTATCTCTTCCAAAGAAGTATACATTTAAATATAAACAAGCTCTTCCCAGATCACTTCCCATTTTTCAGGATGCAAAGTTATGCACCTCGTTCAACTTGGCTTATGGGGAAAAGCTTTGGCCCTAGAGTCCCAGGCCTGAGTTTGAACCTCAGCCTTGTCAAGTTACTTTTTATTTGACTTATTTCTATATTTTATGTCTGAATGTTTCTTCTAACTGTACAATAGGAAAAATTACACCAACTTCATAGGGTCGCTATGAGAATTAAATCAGACAAGAGATAACCCCTCATCCGAAGATCCAGGACATATTAAAATGAGCCTGGAGTGCTATTAGCAGCATTAACCTAAATGCTGTACCACAGGCCACTAGGGGGCAGCTTATGAACCAAATATCTCTCCAGATATATTTTATTTGGCTCACAGATACATATTTTACAGGGCGAGTATCCTTTATCTGAAATGCTTGGGACCAGAAGTGTTTCAGATTTTGAGCTAAGCAGGGTTGGGCCTGGTTAGTACTTGGATGGGATAAGTGTTTCAGATTTTGGATACTTTTGGATTTTGGACTATTGGCACACCCAGACTGACGTTATCTTGGGGATAAGGCCCAAGTCTAAACACAAGAGTCATTTATGTTTCATATACACATTATGCACATAGCCTGAAATTATTTCATATAATATCTGTAATAATTTTGTGTGTGAAACAAAGTTTTAACTTTTACTGTGAGCTGTCACATGACGTCTGGGGTGGAAGTTACCACTGGTGGTGTCATGTCGGCACTCAAACCTTTTGGATTTGGAAGGATTTAGAATTTCACCTTTGGATGAAGAACACTTAACCTGTATTGGGACCACAGTACTATAGACATGAGCACTGACATTTAAAATCCTTAGATGTTTATATAACACAGGTGTTAGGGACTGAACTGTTTCCCCACCCCACCTCCCAAGAAAGATAGGTTGAAATCCTAACTCTGGCACCTCAGAATGTGACATTATCTGGAAACAGGGTCATTATAGATACAATCAGTTAAATTCTCATAGGTCACCCTGGAGTAGGGTGGCCTCCTCATCCAGTATGAGCAATGTCCTTATAAGAAGTCAGCCATGTGAAGGCATTGAGACACACGGGTAGAATCTCACATGATAGTGAAGCCAGACATGGGAGTTAACAGCTTACAGACCAAGGACACAACAATTGCTAGACTGCCGGGTACGGTGGCTCATGCTCATAATCCTAGCATTTGGGAGGCTGAGATAGGTGGACTGCTTGAGCTCAGCAGCTCAGGACCAGCCTGACCAAGGGCAAGACTCTGTCTCTACTAAAAACATAAAAACTAGTTGGGTGCTGCAGTGGGCATCCATAGTCCCAGTTACTTGGAAGGCTGAGGCAAAAAGACTGCTCAAACCTGAAAGTTGGAGGTTGCTATTAGTTATGATGATGCCTCAGTACTCTACCGAGGTGACAAAGTGACACTGTCCCAACAATAAAAAAAATTAAAAAAAGAGATTGCTGGGAAACCACTAGAAGCTAGGAAGAGGCAAGGAAGGATTCCCCCATGTTGGTGCCACTGTGGCACCCCGTCATCACTTGAATAAAACAGTCGGGACACGGATAAAAGTAAAATGCTTGCAAGAGGTGGACTTCCCATAGGTCAGTGGTTCTCAACCTTCCTAATGCCATGGTCCTTTATTACAGTTCCTGTGGGTCATGACGGGTTGAGAACCGATGCCATAGGTGCAGGGAAGCCCCGAGTAACCTCCGTTGTGGCCTTTTATTTAAATAGTATACAACAGGTGTGGGGGGCCCACAAACCTGAGCTACCTGTGCTCTTTCCCTACAGGCTTGACTTCCACCCTGTTGCACCACAAATGTTCAAAGTATAAGACCTGCTTGCTAACTGGCCACTGATCTTATCTCATTAACGCATGCAGTTGCTTGAGGGCTTGTCTCCGGGCTGCAAAACATCTCCATGCCAGCTCCCAGCTCGGAGATTGTCCTGTTCCCAGTGCCTCCCTCAAGAACCGGTGATGCTCTTACAAGCCTGATGCTCAGTCTCCTACACCCCTACAGGTTTTAGGAGAGAGCAAGGCCATATTGACACCCTAATGAAGTGTGATAAATTGTTCGTTAAAAATTTAATGATAAATTTTTGTTGTTCTGAGTCACCCTTTAGTGGTACTGTGTTAAGGCAGCCCTAGAAAACTAACACATTAAGAATTAACACCTCTTTTAAAGACTGGAGTATATGACACCACCTAAGACATCTATTTATAGCAATAAAGATTCAGGACCCCGTTTGCCACAGTCCCCACCATTCCCTACTACACTCTAATACCCAGGTCATATACCATTGCCACTCACCATCACATGTGCACAGCTGTTTCACTTATAGATAAAAAGTATTCCTTTATAACCACATAATTCTCAAAAAATGAATTGGGTAGAATATTTGATATAATAAAAAGGTAAAGAGGCCCATGTCTTCATGAACTGAAAAACAGGTTCACAGGTTTCAAGGCAAACTATGCCCTTTTTTGTACCTACTCCTATTTGCTCTTTTGCAGTCCAGCTTGGTCCCTGAAGGCATTTGCATTTAACAAACCCAGCTCTACACACTCCCTACCAGGACATTCCAACACTATTACTAAGAAATGGACAAAACTAAATTTAAGGAAAACAAAACAAAACAAAACCCCACAGTTCTGCATGACTCAAAAAAAACCTACGATGCTCCTGAATTTTTTTCAGAATAGGATGTTAGATGATATAAACCAAGCCAGAGTGTTAAATCCTTCAAGAACTGCAAGTATTTATGTTTTTAATTTTGGATGAATACTTGAAGCCTAAATACAGAATTCATCGGTAAGTTTTCCATGAATAAATTACAATAACCAGATCATATTACATGCCATATTTTATGTTGCTTTGAGAGACGGTGGCAGCAGGTTTTTCATCATCAGACATGCAGAGCTGCCTGTGTCTCTGAGCACAGGGCCCCTCTATAAAACACCCCCTGCAGTGAATGACCTGCCCTGCAGACACGGGATACAGCTGCAAAGCAGGCAGCTACACTGTCCCAGGCTTACCTTGGGTGGCTTCATACTTTTCCCTCGATACCTCTTGGAGCAGTGTAACAGCCGTTCTTTCTCCTAGAAGGAGATACAACTGTTGGTGTCCCCAGCCAGCCTCACATCACACCACCCAACGCAAATGGTTCTCAAAGGAAGCAGCTCATGACACTGCTGCACCTACTGTCTACCCCAGGCCTGGGTGACTCTCAGCTCTAAGTACCCAGGACCGAAAGCTACAGAGTTGCACCATTTACTCAGGTCCTTGACTGAACCTCTACTTTATGGAAAAATTCCCAAGACTTGCCAGAGCCATAAAACTCAAGCCTGTCTTCTTTGGGGGCTGGAAGCTGTAAAAAGCACTAAGCAGAGATGACTGAACATTTGCTCTACTGGCCTTAGCAGGTTCTTCCTGCGCAGACAGAGCTGGGGCCAAATCCCCTGGGCTCCTTCTGGCCAGGTCACTCCTTCATTTTTTGTTTGTTTGTTAGTTTGTTTTGTTTTGAAATAGAGTCTCACCATGTCGCCCTGGGTAGAGCACTGTGGCACAGCTCACAGCAACCCCAAACTCTTGGGCCTAAGCGATTCTCTTGCCTCAACCTCCCAAGTAGCTGGGACTACAGGTGCCCACCACAATGCCCTTATTTTTTTGTGGTTGCAGTTGCCATTGGTGCTTTAGCTGGCCCAGGCTGGGTTTGAACCCGCTAGCCTTGGTGTATGTGGCTGGCGCCCTACCCACTCAGCTGTGGGCACTGCCCTCCATTTTTTAAATCATCAGTTTCTTCCTTTGCTACGTGGAGCTAGTAGGAAGGAAGAAACAAGAGATTGTGGGCACCTGGTGGTTACTGCAGCAAAAAGACCATCAGCACAGCAGCAGGAGCAGCAGCATTTTGCTCCCTAAACCCAGGGAGTGCTCCTCTTCCTAGTCACATCCTCCTCTCATGTCAGCAGGGACAGACATGGTGTGGCCGCTGCCTGTGGTCTTCTCTTCCTGTTCCTGCTGCCTGTGGTCTTCTCTTCCTGCTCCTGACTGACACTGCTATCTTTTTATCCCCTAGTCTTGATTTGGTTTATGATTCTTCTGATTTTATTGTCATTTTACTGGTTATATTTTTTCATCTTAAGTTGCATCATATCTTTTATGTAATGGAGCAAAGATGGATGGACAAATGCATGCACAGATAGGTGGAAAAAAGAATGGAAGAACCTATAGAGAGAAAGGTGGGAGAGAGGGAGGGAGAGAGGAAGGGAAGGGGATTTAAAGAGGGAGAGAGAGACAGAGGCAGGCAAAGTGAATGTGACAATTACCATCAAAGGCTTTCTAGAACTTTGATTCCTGGCTTCTCTACTCTTCGAAGACTCAAGTATGGATCATCAACCCCTTCTTGGGCAAGGAGACCACACCCTGCGCCTAAGATCCACTGCAGGTGTTCCGAGGCTGGTGCCTAAGCTCCCTTCACAGAGAGCTCCAGAACTCTCTGGATATTCTGATCACCTACTAAGGGCACGCTTACTCCCCCTTAACAGGTGCACACCCCACATAGACATCTAGGAAATACACACAGCCTTAGTAAGCTCTGCAAATTCTAGTCTCATTACAGGTTTAGGTCATGATCTGCAGCTGCTAAGCTGGAAAGACAATCAGAGCCTTCACAGAGACAGACTGTGCACGCTCTGTAAAGACCAGAAGACCAGTTCCTAAAACTGAGGCTGCTTTCTAAGCACAGCAAACCAGGGAGAAGCTATGAGAAAAAGAGTAGCCATGGAAACCGTCCCTGGGCACCAGTGATCTCCTTTAAAGGAAGCCGAGGCAGCCCCACGGCAGAGGAAGCAGGAATGTGCTCCAAGATGACCTGGCAAATGCCAAGGTCAGTTCTGCCTGATCCTGGCGTAGTTTATCAGCATTGCCCAGAGCCCCAATGCCTGTTCTTGTCACATGGCACCCCTCATGCCCAGATTGGTCCCGCCAGCCGAGCAGACGCACCAGTGACAGGTCGTCGATGACATGCTGCTGCTCCAGCACCTGCAGCCTCAGGAACTCGATCTCCTGCTCATCCCTTGTTAGGCTGAGATCGTTCAAGGAGGTGTGCCGCTTCAGAGACACCTGGGCCGACAGCTTCTCCTTCTGCAGCAGGGGAGGAGCGCACTGCAGGGAGGTCCCTCAACAGCGCCCGTCAGGGACTGCAGTGGACGGGGGCTCGGGAGTGTGGGGTGGAAGGAGCTTGGGAGGAGGGAAGGGAAGACAGCTGCCTGCCCCCCAGAGGGAGGAGTAGTCAGGGCTGGCTGTGTGCACTGCTGAGAGGAAGGGGTGGGTAGGGTCTGGGGTGGAAGATGACTCTGAAATGAGCTTTGAGAGCTTGGAGGGGAAGGCAGGGAGGAGAGGACTCCCCAAAGCAGTGATTACAGGCTCACACTGGCACCCGGATGGCACAGAGCAGGGCAGTGCTCTCAGCCCTTTGGTCTTCTCAGCGGTAAAGGAGTATAAACTATCAACTCTGAGACACCCGCCCTGACCACAGAGGCCAGTCATCCTGGCTGGAGATAAAAACCCCTTACGTGAAGCACCCACAGCAGCAGTGTCACTGCTTCCCCAGCTGACTGCCCACTATGAGCCCCGTGTCCCACGAGGCCTTTGATGCCATCATTTCATCCTGCTCATAATCCTGCATGTTGATATTTTCATTCCCATGTTATAGAAGAAGAAAAAGAGGATCAGAGAGAACAAGAGATTCCTTAATCACAGTCATAGTGACCTGACTGCTCCAGGCACAGCTGCCCACAGCACAGCCCATTCTAGAGGAGTGGACAGGGGAGTCCTGGACAAGTGCTGAGGGAAAGGAGAGTGAGACAGTGGACACAGCACAGGCCCCTAAGGCCTCCTAGGTGGCCTTCAGGTGGCCCTCAGAGCCTGTGGCCAGGAGTTTCGGGCTGGAGGATCCAGGGCAGAGCCAAGAGGCAGGGCTGGGCTTGGGGGGCGGCCCCGCTCACCATTTCCACGTTTTCCCTCGTGAGGTTCTTGACCTTCTCCTCCATCCTCTGGATGCTCTGCAGCAGATCCTCATTCTTCTTGCTCATTCGCTTGTTCTTCTCCACCAGGGGCTTCAGCTGGACCTCAGTCTCACGCGAGCGTTTCAGCTGTGATGGGAAGAGAACGTGGAAGGTCACACAACTCCAAGACCTGATGGAGACCACAGAGTCGGGCAGATTCAACCCTGGCCTCCCTTCCACCAGACCTGCCTGCACAGCACAAACATCAAAAAGACCACACAGACCTGCTTCCCAGTGTGGCGCCTCACTGGCGTCTCGCTGGGCCCACGTAAGGCGAGACGCGTAGGCCGCAGCTCAGAGGGGGAGGCCACAGATCTCAGGTGGCCTGGCTGGCACATGGCCTGTATCCACTGTCCCACTCTCTTTTCCCTCAGGGCATCACCCCCAGAGGCCATAGATCACACACAGAAAGATCAGTCCAGCTACCTGCCTCCTCCTGGCTCCTGTTCCCCCCCGTGCCAAATCAGTGGGCAGCTACACACCCTGACAACACCTGAGCCTTGGGACCTGACAGGGTGCCAAGCTCAGGGTTGGGGACACGGGGATCTATCATGTCTGCCGTCTCCCTAGATCAGCCACATGTCCTTCCCAGCCACTGGGAACCTGGGAGGCCTCCTGGTGCCGGCCCCACGCTGGGCATTGGGTCAAGGGGCAACATGACAGGGATGCCTATCCAAACAGACAGGAAAGGTGGCCATGACCTGCCACAGAGGCAACACCACGCTCGGGAGAAGAAGCCACAAGCCCAGAGGTTCACAGGAGGAAAGAGCAGGGGATGGGGGGTGAGCAGGAGCTGGCAGAGCCAGCTGTAGAGAGCGGGCATTTGGTCTCCAGCACCAGCACCGGGGGCTTGGACATAGGAGACATCTGTCATTAGGTCTGCCTTCTAGAAGAATCTACTGCTTGGACTGCTGTTTGGTGGCCAGAGCAGTGAGACAGAGAGTGGAGGAAGACAGGGAGGAGGAACTGGGGGAAACATGTAAGTAGAGGCACCCACAGCTTTGTCTTCTGAGGACAGTGTCCTTGGAGACACATTCATTTTTTAGCGGCAAGACCATGGGTAAATTCTTAGCTTTAGTTTCCTAATCTGTAGCATGAGAATGATCATAGCTCCTGCCTCCTAGATTTGTGGTAAGAATGAAGTGCATAGCGGTAGTCTTCACTGGGTTATTTTAGGGACAAAAATGAGAAACAATTTAAGAATCCATCAGTATTACAACAACCACAAGAATAACCAGCGCATATGAATAGTGCTGCCACGAGCCTGAAACAGCATGTTTCTCTCTCATTAACTCTCCCACCGCCCCAGGAGGGGCACCATCCCCGCTACACAAAGAGTCTGTGCCCAAAGAGACAGGCAATGTGCTCAAAGTCACAAAGAAAGCACTAGAACCCAGAACCAAACACAAGGGACTGACTCTGGAGTCTCCAGGCTGTAAAAGTCAAGGTAAAATATTCTGATGGTACCAGCTGAAATGTAAAAGGTACCACATGACTCCATCACTGCACTAGAAATGGAAATCAAAGTTCAAGTTAGTAAACACAGGTATGCGTCTTCTACGTGTCATTGTTTATAACAGCAAAGACGACCTTGAATAGCCACCATGAGGGGAATGGTTGAAAAAACCATGGGACAGCCACCCAGTGGAGGACAGTGAGGCCTGTAAAAAGACACAGGCACTCATGTGTTGGGGGGAGTGCTGTCCCTGAATTAAGTGATAAAAGCAAGTGGCAGAACAATGCAAAGAGGAACAATGCAAAAACCTCATTATGTAACCACAAGATAAAACAAAAAGGTCTCTTGGCAGGTGTTGATATGTGCATATTAATATAAGCATTAAAAAATACAAAAACTACCCCAACTAACAATAGTTATCTCATGATTTAAGACTGAGGCCAAGTGCAAAGGCTGAAGTCTGTAATCCCAGTACTTTGGGAGGGTAAGGCAAGAGGATCTCCTGAAGCCAGGAGTTCAAGACCATACTGAGCAACAGTCTCTACAAAAAAATTAAAAAAAAATTAGCTGAGTACAGTGGTGGGTGCCTATAATCCTATATATACATACACACACACACACACACACACACACACACATATATATATCCTCATTACTTATACATATCCTATATATAAGTCCTCATTACTCATGAGCCTAAGGCAAGAAGATTGATCACTGGAGCCCAGTTCAAGGTTGCAGTGAGCTATGATAGTGCCACTGCACTCCAGCCTGGGTAACAGAGTGAGACTCTGTCTCTAAAAAGAAAAAAAAATTGAAGCACTGGCAAATTTATCAATTTCTACTTTTACCTACATCAGTGCAGTCTGAATTGTTTCCAGCAGCCTGTGTTTCCCCCAATCTTCTCAGTAAACTATTATGCAACTCAAGTATTTTTTTAGCTCATGAGTATTTAAATAAAAAGTGAAGACATAATATTATATGTAGAGGCTGATTAAAGTCGTATAAAATATGCCTGTAAAAATACTAGAGGGAAATAAATTTATTTTGATCCTGTCAAAACATGAAGTACTCATTTTTTCAAATATTGTGTAGATATACTTCCCTTAATAAAAATGATTAGAATAAACATAAAAATTATGAGGCATTTCTCAAGAAGTTTATGAATCAACTAACTGCTACATACAAATTAGTTTAGCTTTTTATCTTTGAAACTTAAACATATTCATGAAATTGTTATTTATAATGGACATTTATTTTTTAACCAAAAATCCATGCTCATTATTTTAAAAATTAGATGTGTATAAAGTTTTATGCAAAAGAAAATAAACAGATAAGCAAAAATTAAAATTACCCATAATCACACCACCTAAAAGAGCAACTTCCAGTCTCCAGGACGAGGATGATGACAATGTATTTTTGTTCTATATCTGCTTTTATCATTTAAGTTACTGTGAATAAAGCTCCACGTCAATTAAATACAGTCTACAGTATCAATCTGAATAGAATAGAATTCATTGTATAAATCTTCCACAATTACTCTGACCAATGCGTTAATATTGAACAATTGTCTTATTTTTGATTTTAGGGTGCTATGACATTGCAATGACCATCCTTTCCACACTTGTCACAGAACTCCAATTGCTTGCTAAGGATAAAGTCCTGCAGAAATAAAGGGCAGTAACAGATTTCTTCAATAAGCACCCAACAGATATTTAATCAAAACTAAATTCAGAAAGCCAGAAGGCCTCCATACAATCTTTGTGTTTGAGGCATGTTTTGTGGCCCCAGGGCCCCTGCCGTGCATCCTCTAAGGCACCATCTGGGGGGAGGGTGCTGCTGATTACCAGTTCATTCCTCTCATCTGCCAGGAGGGTATTTCTGTCTTCCAGCTTCCGTATCACTGAATTCAGTTCAGCAATTTTTAGTTGAAATCGCCTTACATCTCGCTCATCCATATGTTGATCCTAAAAAAAGGCAAGATACAAATGTACTTTGAAGAAGCTGAAATGATTCAAAGCACTCCATAGAGCCTTCTCAGAAAATCACAAAATTCACATGGCAACAAAACAGGTGAGATCGTCACTAAGGGTACCATAGGCCCCAGAGCAAGGAGGCCTGCTGCATGAAGGGGAGACTTCATCTCAGAGGCGCTGAGACTTCAGACCCCTGCGATGGTTCCCTGCAACCTCATCCCTGAGCCTCTGCCCACCCTGCATCTCTTACGAAGGCCTATCGCATGCCATTCGTGGTTCCCAGGATGTGCCAGCACATTCCTCAAGGGCAGACACTGGACTGGTCTTGCTCAACACCGAAATGCTGGTGACTAATACAGTGTCCAACATACAATTCATAACAGACACTCAAATACCAAATGAACGAATCAGTGCATTTTGCTTTGGCCTCCACTGTGTCTTTGTTAAGCGCTATGAACTAAAAATGAAATCCTAAAGCCCTCTGTTAACTGAATGGACCCCTCTCAGCCAAGCGGCTCAGAACACCTTGAAACATGATTCGATGGGGGAGGTACAGCACAATTACATGATTTTCCTTCATAAATATTCATGACTCCTCCTATAGCTTGTTGAGTATGGACATTTGACCACCCTGCTCAGGATAAAATACTGTTGCCTTTCATCTCCTCTTTAATCCAGTGTGCCTGGCTTCTGGCCATGGCTCTGCTCTCCAGCCTATTGGAATGGCCACCAGCAGGCTCCTACCTTGATGAGAAATAAAGCTCTTCTTTTTCCAAAATGTAAACCTGTTAGGTTTTTTTTGTTGTTGTTTGTTTGTTTTACTCAACGAATGGTGACCATGACGGGACCCAGAGACACCCCCCAGCATGACTGGAGGTCAATGCATCGTCTGTAGGAGCCCACTGATAGCTCAGCTGAGAGAAGCTCAGATAAGCTCCCCTGGGTTCAAGGTCTCCCGCTTTTAAGACAGATCTTAGGGACTCTGTTTCTTTCCACCCCTTCCCTTCATTTCTCTCTGGTTCCAATTCCCTCCATTTTAGAGCCCAGAGGGTACATCTTTGTCAGCCCCCGGCTGGGGGAGCTACCCCGTTTCCCCTAGTTCCGTCTATTCCAGACCCTACAGGGAATGTTTTTGTAGGTTCCAGGGTTTGGGGAGGAGACTTGGTTAGATCCAGCTGGTCCACAGCATTTATGAAGACACTAATGTTTCAGAATTTGGGGAGGACTCTGTCATAGAGGTAAATAATTATAAAAAGTTTAATTCTAAGAAAATGGTCTCTGATCCACCATGAATATTAGTGACTAACATGCTTAAAAATCTAAAAAATTCTTACAATGTTTGAAATCTAACCTAAAATGATTTATAGCTTTCCTAACCACAGCAACATTTTAGGAGACCTCTAGTTTATCTATGTGCTCAATTAAAATAAAAAGGCTATCAAACCTTACAGAATAATGAAGATAATGCTATAACTGGTGTTTAAAGTTTTCTAAATGGGATCTACTCTCTCATAGCCTCCCTTTAAGAGGGTAATCACCTCGTAAAGTTAAAAGAAACTAAAAACAGTGGCACATGATCCAAATGTTAGCCTTAGTTTTTTTGTTCTGTCTAAAAACCGCTCCATGATCCCTGCTCCTGGAACGGGGCAGGGCTGCCTTATCACTACAGTTTGCTGCTTTTCCTTCCCACTCTTGTCTATCTCCAACAACCTATAACCCAGATTTCTCCAAAACTGTCAGTTAGGCTTTTAATATGTAAACCTTTTAGCTTCAAAATAGACTAAAGAGATTAAAATGTTTTGCCCCAAGTTTCCACCTCTAAAAGTCTCAAAAGAAACATCTGCCACCTATTCTATCTGAGAACTGTTACCCACAGGGCTTCATTTATATAATAAAACCACCCTTTGGTTTTATTAGTCAACCCCCCCAAAAAACCCCTGTTTTTCTGCTTTTTCACCTTTAAAAGGACCTTTAATTTCCTGTCTTCTTCCACCTATGAGAGATGCTTGAGACTTTTTGTATATAAAGGGCTCAGACACATTAAAATATATATATACATACATATATATATATATTTTTTTTTTTTTACTTGTTCCACTCTCAATGACAAACTTATATTTTCAGTTTTAAGCCTCCAGATGCTGGCGTCCTTTTTCATTAAGGTTTTAATTATTTTTGCAAACTTCAGACTAAATCCTTGTTAATTCTTGACTATAAAAGTTAAGGAAAAACAGGTTATAATTTTCTTCATGACATTTTTATTTGACTTCTTAATGGAATAGTTCTTCTTTCCATTTTGTTACATAGACTCTTCTTTCATTGTCAAATGATTAGTGTTATTTATATCTCATTTTACTTCTAAGAGCACCAGAGTTATAATTTGATAAAACCTACACGTCTTCTTCATCTAATCCCATGGAACCTGGTCTGTTTCCATTGCCAAGGCCCTTACCACACAGACAGACCTTCCTCTCTCCAGGCCCAGGACTATTGCAGAAGAGGGTGGCATATGAAATTGCCAGGGCCAATTTAAGGAAATGAATGGTCTTAATAAAATACTTATGTTTATATAACTAATTACTACAAGTCTGTAACTAAAACCTAAACTACAGTGACTCAATACTTATAGGTAAGTCATTTTCATAACTATGTTTATGGCTTTTGGCTTTCAATTACATTGCTTAAAAGGTTGTAAGGGATTAATGAGTACCTGTCTATCCCAGTTCCGTCTGGCCCAAAATGTTCACTTGGCTATAAGCTTTAATGGCTCTAAACCTCTCCTAGGCCTAGACTGACCTAGGGCAGAGCCACTCCACATTAATGCTTAGCCATTGCTACTGCCTCTAGCATATCTAAGCCAAAAGGGGAGCCAGTGAACTAAAAATAAAATCCTAAGCCCTCTACTAACTAGAAGGACTCCTACTGGCCAAGGAGACCCCAGAACCCTTTAAAGCTGAGTTCCCAGCCAGGCCAAGATGAGAGACATAGCACAATTACATACACAGATTTCCCTTCATAAATATTCATGACTCCTGCTGAATATGTATATTTAACCACCCTACTCAGTATAATATCCATTGCTGCCTTTTGTCTTTTCTTTGAAACACGTGTGTACCTGCTCCCCAGCCTGTTGGAACGGCCACCCAGGAGGCCACTACCCTGCCTATAGAAGAAGAGAAATAAAGTTCTTCTTTTTTCCAGAGTATAAACCTCTTTAATATTTTTTTAGCTAACAGGACTGACCTATTGCCCTCATCCTTGCCTCGGCCCTACTCATCCTGCAGGACTCTGCCCTCAAAACCCTTCTTGTGCAGAGAGGGGGCCCAGCCTGCACTCCCCAGGTACTCTGCTCTGATGTCTCCATTTCTTTCTTTTCAACGGAGGAGCTCAAGGCCACGAGACGCAGAAGCAGTGAGTTCTTCATTCCTTTAGTCTCTGGCCCTGGGACATAGTGAAAAGTTAACAAATGGGGAAGACAAGAGACAGGAGTGAGGAGAGAAGGGACAGATGGGTGAAAGGGCGGATGCTGGGGAGGATGAGGGGCTGGGAGGAAGGGAGTCAGCCCTGAGGCTGTGTGCCCCCGCTGCCCTCACCTGTGTGCCCATGAGCTCCGCCATGTCCCCGATCCCTGGTGGGAGCTCCCTCTTGGGGCTGCTGTGGTGCCGCTCGGCCTCCTTGACCTGTACCAGTTGCTCATCCAAAGCCTCTTTCTGCAGAAGCAGCTTCTGGGTCTGACCCGCCTGCACGCCAAGTTCCTTCTCCAAGGCCAGAATCACACGGTCTTTTCCTTTGATCTCATCCATCTGAAAAAGAAAAAGAAGCAGCCACCAATCACAGGGGTGGGCTCTCGCACAGGGAACTCACTCCCTGCTAGGGCTTCGGTCCAGGCAGAGGTCGAAGCAGTTCCCTGGTTCTGGTCAACTGAACTGGCAAACCCAGGACTCTGGCTCTGCTCCACTGGAAGAGTTCGGATGGTTGGCCCCCCCGAATCTCACTCTGAAATCTGATCCCCAGTGTTGGAGGTGACAGGTGCTTAGATCACAGAGGGGGATCCCTCATGAACGCTGGTGCCCTTCCTCCCCAGGTGCGCAGCGAGTGCTCACTCTGGGTCAGCAGAGTGTCACTGTTGAGAGGAGCGGGAGCATCCTGCCCTCACTCTTGTTCCCTCGCTCAACATGGGACACCAGCTCCTGTTTACTTTCCACTTGGATCAGAAGCTCCGCAGACCCTCACCAGGAGCAGATGCAGCACCATGCTTCTACATGTGAGCCAAATACCAACTACCCAGCCTCAGGTCTTCCTTTATAGTAATACTAACCAGACTGAGGATCCCTCTAGGACAGAAGAAATGGGTTCCAGCAGCTAAATATTCCACCCTACACTTGTACTGACACTTACCTATGTTCATGCCTCTCTCACCTTGATGAAATAAAGTCCTGAGCCTCCTCCCACCCAGGCCTCCCTGCCTGTTCCCCCCTGCTCCTCCCACTGCCCCGTCCCCCTGCTCCTCAGCCTTCTCAGTACGTCTTGTCTCTCCTCATTTGTCTGCCCTCTCCAGTCTGGCCACAACCCCGCCCACCACCCAGACAGCTCCTGCCAGGTCTCCCCATGCTCCTGACCCACAGCTTTCTGTCCCTACCCTCGATTCCTCTGGTACCTGATGCTGCCCCCACACCCTGTGACCTTCCCCCCTCCCTCTCCCTCTGGCCACAGTGATTTCCCAATCTCTACCTTCTTTATAGACTGCCATCAGAGCCTGGGGTTCCCAAGGTTTGGGCATCTTCTCAATCCCATCCTCTCCCTGGGCAGACATGTCTCACCCACACATTAACCCCTCACACAAAGCTGCATTTCAGACGTATGCCCCCAGCCCTGATATCTCTTTGGGATCCAAAGTCACAGAACCACTGGTTGCTTGTCACCTCTGCTTGGATCTCCAAAGAACCTTGACATTTCTCTGTACAAACTTGAATTCAATCTCCAACTCAGCCCCAGTGATGTCTAGTCTAACCTTCCATGGAAGGGAGTGTCAGAGAGAAGACACAGCCTGAACGCATAGGGCCAGGTGACATCAAACAACAGAAGGAAAACTGGGCTGAGGAAGCTTCCGCCCCAGGTAGACATCCCAGTAAGGGCACTGTATAGGGTTAAACAGTATCCCCCAAATCCATGACCTTCCTGGAACTTCAGAATGTGACTTTATCTAGAAACAGGGCCATCGTAGGTGCAATTAGTTAAGATAAAGTCACACCATTTCAGGCTGGGCCCTATCACTGGCCTCCTTATAAGAGGAAAGAGAGACAGAAGGAAAAGGCCACGTGCAGATGGAGGCAGAGAAGGCACCACACAGCCACAAGCCACAGAACACCAAGTTTGCCAGGACCCCAGAGGCTAGAAGAGGCAAGGAAAGACCCTTTTCTAGGGCCTGTGGAGAAATGGTGGCCACACAACACATCTTGATTTAAATCCTGTGGCCTTCACAACTCTAAGAGAATAAATTGGTGTCACTTGTTAAGGCAGCCACTGGAAACTAATACACACACTCTTCTCAGTCGGGACACTGATGGAGTGTGTTATATTTAAGTTACTAAAGTCTGAAACTCTTAGTCCTAAATATTGTTCCTTGAATTCAGACCCAGACAGGCAGAGAATCCTGGTTAAGAACCCTGTTCTAGCAAAAGAGAGATGCACGGGTATCCCCCCTCACTTACTGTGACCTTGGGTGGGTTGGTGAGTCTGACCTCCCAGACTCAGCCTGTTTCTGTAAAATACCAGCACTTAGAGGACTGCAGAACCAACCCTGCCTGGTCACCATGGAAGGACCACAGCACAGTGCCTGGCCCACTGTAAGCATGCCATCAGTGTAATCCCTTTTAACTGGTCGTTAACATGAGGCTATCTTACTTTAAAAGCAGACCGCTAAAAACTAATAAAAAAAATCAGTGCGATTTGCACCCCCAAATTCCAGACTGGGAGGTTTTCCAGCCAAGTTCTCCAGTGCTACAGCTTTGATGGGGGAATTTCTGTCACTTGCAATCAAAAGGACAGGAAAGAAGGTTCAGGAAAGAAAAACAACCTTGACATCTAATCTACCTCTTACAGGACAGCTGTGGAGTAGATACTAATTTGTACTTCCTGGCTTGAGGAACCTTTCTTTGGAAGACAAAGGATGCTTTCTACCCTCCACCCAGGACAATCCTCTGGGCCCCAGCAGGGCCTGGAGCAGTTTGTCAAGAGCTGGTGCAGGACGTGTGCACTGTGCCCCCTGGTGGAGACCTGTACAAGTCTCCTGGGCTCCCAAAGACCCTCACTGTAGATGCCGATCCAGAAGCAGTAAGAGTGTATGTGGAAGGCATTCATTATTGGAAGCCACTCAACACATTCTGAGCTGAGTGCTGTCAACAGGAGCTGGGAGACACGGGCGAGCAGGACAGACCCAGCTGCCTGCTCTGGGAGCTTCCATACTGGAGGGGGAGGTAGATGATAAACAAAAAACAGGCAAACACTGGGGAGCTCGAAGACGACCACTACCAGGAGTAGCAGATTCACACCAGAGCAAGGGAGCCAGCAGCGGCAGTGGGACTTGCAAGTCAACAGCCCCTCCGCCAGGGTGGAGGGGTTCCAGGCTGCCCCCACCATCCTGCTCTGCACAGCCTTCCACTGGCTCCCCACAAAAAGCAGCATATCGCAAGCAGGGCTTCCCTGGGATCCCACATGCCCAACCTGGGGGAGCACCACTCCCCATTTTCCTAGTGCGTGAGAGCAGGGGGCTTAACCCCAGTCGTGGTGGAACAGGTTCCTAGAAACTGCACAGAACACACTGGAGCCGGCATCATCTAGACTGTTCTATCTCCCCAGCCAGAGTCCAGAGGTTCCAGAGGTTAAGAGACAGGCCAAGCCCACACACCTGCTGCATGGCACTCTCAAGATTTGCTGACTTGAGGCCGGGCACTGGGACTCACGCCTGGAATCCTAGCACTCCGGGAGGCCGAGGCAGGTGGATCACCTGAGTTCAGGAATTCAAGACCAGCCTGAGCAAGAGTAAGACCCTGTCTCTACTAAAAACAGAAAAACTAATCAGGTGTTGTGGCAGGTTCCTGTAGTCCCAGCTACTCAGGAAGCTGAGGCAGGAGGCTCACTTAAGCCCAGGAGTTGCTGTGAGATATGATGACACCACAGCACTCTACCCAGGGCAATAGGATGAGACTCTGTCTCAAAAAAAAAAAAAAAGAAAAAAGATTTATTGACTTTACATCTGGCTTCCCAGCTGAGCAATCCTCCACCACTCCCCACACCCCCTAGCTGCAGCATCCCGATAAAATGGTGAACCACTGACACTGAGCTTTCTGAGCTTCCAGAGCCACTCACCTGAGTGCGCAGGACTGAGCAAGCTTCCCCTTCTCCCACCCTCGCCGTCACCTGAGTGCGCAGGACTGAGCAAGCTTCCCCTTCTCCCACC